TCTATCTGATTTTATTTGCTAACATATCACACAGATTTAAACATTTCTCTCGCACTCAAACGTCAGTACCGGTTGCCTACCGGTCAAAATTTTTATAAGAATGACCGGTCAACCGGTCGGTCCGGTCTGCATATGTTCACCGGTAACCGGTGACCGGCCGGTACCGGTTATGATTTTGTTGACCGGTTGCATCTCTGGACTAGGGGCTATAAACCCTAAAAGTTTAATAAACTTCGGTCATTTGATCTGGAAGCTACCGCCAAAAATATAGGCCATGACGGAATGACTCAAAAAAATGGACTTTGACTTGCACAGAAGGGTAAAGAAAGCAAAAAGTCAGCGGAACCAAAAGAGCTTTGAAAAACCTTTCTGTAGCAAAATTGTAGCTCAGCCAATGGGCTATATGTGGAAAAAAGGGAAATTCAAAAATTGGGAAAGATCCCCTGGAGACTCAATCCTCATTTGATTTCTGTCACGTTAGACTCAGCCTCACTTAATTTTGGACTTGACACATAGTTTTTAGAGCACATAGTTTTGAGCCGAGCTGAAAAGCTTGAAAATACTTGAAGGATGTAAAAGCTTGAAAAATCCTTCAAGTTCGAGAAACCTTTAATATCTCGGCTCTAGATCGATTTGAAGTCTTCAAGTAATTTTTCTCTAATTCTGCGTTTGTGTGTGGCCATTTTCGAAGTTAAAGCCTGCCAGCATGTCCCAAACCAGCCCTCTAAAGATTTTGAACTTGAAGAATTTTTCGAGTTTTTACATCCTTCAAGTATTTTCAACTTTTTGACATGGAAAAAATTTTTGAAAATTTTTTGAAGGATACACTTCATTAATCAGGTTGATGTGCACTATCTAACGATGTAAAGCTACAAACTAATCTAAAATGGCAAGTATATAATTAAGTAGATTAAATATTTCGACAAAATGAAAAGTGTCTCGGCTCTGAACGTTCATACAAATACAGCTGTTGTACAAACAGCCCAAAAAGTCAATTTTGGGGCTATCTTAAACGTGTGTCTAAAAGAGTAAAGACGAGCTGGCAAAAATTGAACAAGTATACCACTCTGTAGAAAATTATTTGCTATACAAGATGTAATAGCTTGTCATTGTGTGATAGCTAATTAATCTGTATCAATCAAAGAAAAACCGTGACGGTGTGACAAAAACTGGTCAAAAGTGTCACAGCGTCACGGTTTTTCTGGTCGATTGATGGTTTCTTGCGTAAATCAGTTCTCTTTTAATTTGTAAGGATGACTCTTAGCTCTTTTTAGATTATTCAGTCTCACCGCAATCGTTCTCAGCAGTTATTGAACAGGCTCCTCTAAAATGTTTATTTTCTGACTCATCTATTGAGGTTCTGCTACGGCAGTGCTAAAAACTTTTTTGTCATAAACTAGTATAATATACAGTGTTTGACTTGTTTTCGATTCCTAGTTAGGATTAAGCTATTTGTCTTTTGGAACCTACAAAATGCGACTCGAAAAGAAAAAAGAAAAGTTAGACCGAGTACCCGACAAGTTCGTCGAATTGGTGCGTCTGACTTTGGTGCTTCCTTGGATTTGATGTGCTTTTAACTGCGTTTCTCATCTTGGTTTCTGACCATTGTTTCCTTTGGAAGTTTTTGTGAAAAAAGAAGTTAGGCGTCTACTTTAAAACAAAATAAACCCAAACGCTTCAGCTGGAAGTGCATTACAAAGTCTTGGGAAACACTTCAGGTCCTTTTTGGACGTTGATCTCTGGAAAACTCCTGAACGGTAAGACTTTGAGACAAAAAAACTTTTTATTCTCGTAACTCATTAAGCCGAACGTTTATTGAAAGTTTCGTCAAGATCGGATGACAGTGTCGGAGATAATTTCTCAGGGGAGCCCTTAACTGCAATCTAATCTGCTGTTCTGTATATTAAATCCTTGAGCTACGTAATCTTTTTTCTGGAAAAATTTCTTGTATCATACGTCACTTTACTCGTGCGCAACTTTCGGGATCCTCTCTGCTTAGAGTCTACAGTCTTAACCGACCAACGCGTCAAAAAGGGCTCGTTGATGTCAGAAAAACAATATTGTCACTCTTGAGCCTGTGCAGTAGATTTGACTGTCTTTTCACTTGTGATAACCGAACGTTTTTTGAGGATGTCTCTTACTCTTACTAATGTGATTTTATATTTCATCTTTTTGAGTTTATTTTGAATAAATTATCATTAAAGTAAAGTTTGACATCTGATGTATAGATTATATTTTCTCACACTTTATTAGCTCTTATGAAGAAGAAGCTATAACGATTATGCAGATAGCATAAACTATAACCTATCGATTGAATTATAGTGGATAGTCATGTCGAGTATGAAAAAGCTTATTTTAGGCTGATGTATTGACAATTGATGATGCTCGGATAAATTCTAATTGCCGAAAGGAAATGAGAGATTTACTATGAGCTTTAGTTCGATGAGGAAGATACAACGCAGCTTTGAGAGGTGACAACGACATCGTGCTGTTCGTCTAGTCAATGCATCTAACTTTAGTTCTGCGTTCGACATAGAACAGGGTGTCTTTCCTTTCCACTCTTGCTGCCATCTTTCCACCCTGTTTTCGGATGAGTATTTGCTTCATGTTTCATGCATTCGCTAATCAAAGGGCTCTCTAACTTATCGTACATTTGATTTCGGCTGAAAAGGATGCTAGTTTATTGTTTGCTTGTTTTGTTATTGTATTTTCTTAAAATTTTCTAGGCTCAAAAATCATCTGATCGAACATTTCAGTGTTAAAATGAAAATCGCCAGTAATATACCGTCTTGGTTATTGTTATTTTATTCTATCTTTCGTAGTTGTTTATTGAGTAGAGCAGTTCGATCAACATTATTATATAATTTCACGTTAATAGATGGTAATGGTGGAAATCCAATTCCAAATTCTGCTTTAATTATAAATGACGAAGGTTTTATCGTAAATATTATGGATATGAATTTAATTAGTAACAATCAGATAGAACAATCTTATCCAAACGTTAAATCATTTAATTTGAAAGGAAAATTTGTTATACCAGGTTTAATCGATGCTCATACCCATGCAAGTTCAGAATGGTAAATATCACCCATGTCGCACATTTTTTGAGAAAACCGTCGATTAGACGGAACCGTTCGGTATACCCTGCGGTTTAGCGACGGTTTTTTTTTCTACAGGCGGTTACAGCACGGTAGTTTTCAGACCGCGGTACAAGAAAAAACCGTCGATAGACCATTTTGACACAATCAGCCTTTTGTTTTGCGGTTGTCAGTCTGTATTAGAAATGCAGAAAAGTCAAAAAACTTTGATTTTTTTTCAAATTAAACTTTCTCTTTCAAGTTTCTCTTTCGAAGTTTGCACTTTGACTTGAGTCAAGTTTTTCCCGTTCGGAAACGCTATCGCGCTGCATGCGCACTGCAAAAAAAAGAAAGCTGAGAACTAGATTCGACCTCCCGTATTGTTTGCTCACACTGATAAAACACCGGTTGATACCGCCGGTACAACCGACCGGTATACCGCGCGGTTCGGTAGACCATGCGGTAATTTCACATGTCCATTAGGTTAACCTCCCATTATACTCGCCGGTAACCGGCGGTATTTTAGCGGTTCTGATGACATAGGCAATGTTCTATTTTTCCCTTTTATCCTGCAGCTCTTTTTTGTTATTTTTTATCAGGCCTCAAAATGCAACGCATATGGATATTTTATTGTCGTTTGCATTAAGTGGCGGCATTACTAGTATGCGAGATATGGGTGGTGATGTACCATTTCTACTCCCTTACGCTTCACTTGGATTCTTACCAAAAGTTCCCTATCCAAGAATATATTATTCTTGTTTAATTGGTGGACCAGACTTCATGCTTGATCCAAGAGTACAGCAGGCTGCGCATGGAACAGTACCAGGAACAACAGGATGGTTAAGAAGTATAACTAATACAACAGATATTCCTGCTGCTATTGCATCTGCAGTTGATATTGGTGTTACTGGTGTTAAAATTTATGCTGATTTAGATCGAAATTTAACTCTGGCGGTTACCAAAGAGGCTAAAAAACAAGGTCTACGAGTATGGACTCATAGTGCTATTTTTCCAACCAAACCATCGGAAGAAGTAACTGGTAGGTATATCAAAAGAAAGCTTTATTCTTTATTCTGAACTTCAATTTTCCATCCATTTTAGCTGGTATCGAAGTATTATCACATACAGCCTACTTTGTGTTTGAATCATATGATTCGATGCCTCAGGATTATAAAGTTCGATTTAATGGTGATTACGCAAACCATCCTTATAATTCTCAAAATATTACTAATCTTTTACAAATGATTAAACAGGCTGATGCCATTTTAGATGCTACTGTTTATGTTTTTACTGAACCTGATTCCGTTACAGTTCAACGAGAGTATTCTACTTTTCGTTCATCTGCACCCGTGCCATCTCATAATTCCGACACAGATTTTCCCAAAATCGGCCAACAGTGGATTTTCAATGTGACTCGTGATGCTCATGTATTAGGTATTCGTATTTCTGCAGGAACAGATGATCTTGGTTCAAGTGAATTAGGTGATAAATTTCCTAATATACACAAAGAAATTGAACTATTTGTACGTGAATGTGGTTTTAGTCCACTTGAAGCAATAACATCCGTTACAAAAACAGCATCACAGGCTATTGGAATAGATAAATATTATGGTACCATTGAAACAGGAAAAGTTGCTGATTTGGTTATATTAAATAATGATCCTTCTATTGATATTACGAACACAAGAAAAATCTATACCGTACTTAAACAAGGAATCTTTTACCCTATATCAAATGGAACAGTATGAAGCAAATGATTCTAAATTTTTTGCTTTTTTTTATTTCTGATTATCATTTGTATTGTGCTTGTTCATACCTTCGATGAAAAAGCTTAGGCACGTGCAGCAAGTTGAACATATTTAAAATTCGACGTTGTTAATTTATTTAGTTTATCAAAACAAAATACATTATCCATCCACTCCAATGATTCAATTTGGCATGTTTCAATGTCTGGCAAGCCTTATCTAATAATTCGCTAGAATAACCTTCAAATAAACTCATGCCAGCTAAAAAGTAATGTTCACAATATTGACTTTTCGAAAGAACATGCGTATATACAACGACTCAATAAGACCGACATGACATAAGAATCTTGAAACATAAGAACAAACATAAGAATGACTTGTAACAGAAAAAATAAACATGTAATTCAAAATTTCTGCCTATCATGACCAACAACTAAAAATAGCAAAAATGTGGGAGAAATGGTGAGAGAATAGAAGATAGTGAGAGAAATGGTTTTCATACATAAAATTATTTTATGAGGCAAGCTGAGTGCATAGAACAGTCGTCTGGATCTCCTAAGTATTTCTATAATTTTTATATGAATTTTTCTGCTACTAAATTTACAACAATATAAAGAACATGAACAAAAGAAACATAAAAGTTTATTGACAACATCTGTGGATTACTGAATTTATTTTACAGTTATACAAAAGATGTACTAAAAACTATTATGTTAAGGTTTTGGTAAATTTTCATACAGTTTTTTAAATGAGATAATTTTAAAAAAAATACACTTGACTCTGAGTACCTGCAAGTGCGGAAAGAATGTTTAAAATTCGTTAAATAGAAAAACATTCTTTCTGTCACTTGAGAGTCGACATCGTTGAATATTGTACCATGTCTCTCGTCAGAGCACGTATGTCTTGTTTACACATCACTTGTTTGTGGTTTGGCTGATGAAAACGATCTATTGCTGATTTGATTCTTGATAAACATTCGGCTCTTTTCGATTTCTTTAGAAGGGGTTTATCACACCCATTTTTGATAAATAATTTCAACATACAGATGGTATCATACATGGCCGCAGATGAGAGCTCTCAACATTCTAAAATTCGTAATAAATGGTGTATCACACGTCTTACACCTTCCGAACTTGGGCACTCCTCAAAGTCGACTATAACTGTATAATTTGTTGAACATGTTGTATTAAAAATAGCAATTAAAACGGATCTCAGTGCTTTCTATGTTAGAAATGCGTCAAAAGTATCATTAGAATGTACGAGATATTGTATGAGAGGAAGTAACCTAGATACAACATAATAGTTTTAATTTTCTAACGTCAAGGAGCTTCTATACATCGCACATATTAAGGTATCTAAAGAGTAATAAAGCAGACGACAAACAAATTTGTTATTTTGAAGGTCTTCTGTAGATTAAACAAAAACATGGCAACAACAAAAACGATTGTAAGGACAAAGCTAAACGAAGAACAAGAAACATTATTAGAATTAACTAGTAACATGAAACTGAATCACATTCAAACCACAATGCAATTATTCTACTCGTTACCATCTCAAACGCCACGCAAAACAGCACGTATTCAAAATATTCTTAATCAACGCTATAAAACTGAATACGAGAAAATAATAATCAATTTTATTGCCGATTTCATATCCCACGATCAAATACTGCAATCTTATCTTCCACCACAACAAAAAATATCCATTTTAATGGAGAATCACAGATTATGGAATACTATTGCTAATTACAACGTAACAACTGTTAATCTATCACGAATATTTGTCTAAACTGCAGCGCACAACCAGCGACAAAGTTTTCCAATTCAATCAAAATGCTAATAACCTACGAACAAATTACAGATTGTTCAATTTATACAGCATGGTGTTCTAACAGTGAAATAAAATACCCTCCAATGCATTTCGAAACACAAACTAATGCATTTGTAACATCCGAGTCAATTCGACATGACGAATACATTTGTTTTGGAGGTGAAACGGTTTATTATCACGAGATTTTTGTTGATTTTCATTCACAACATATAACTTCACACATATCATTTGCTGGCTTTACGAAGTCTACAACGACAGAAACCATACACTGGAAAATAGGAATGTATGACAGAATGGTCATACCGCATCCTCACAAAGTACAAATAAACCAGCACAACAGCAAACGTAATTTTGAGTTCTACTGTTTATTTTATGCGGTAAATGTATAAATGGTAAAAAATAATTCAAATTCTTTTCCTTTTTAGTTCAACAGAATTAAAACCAAGAAAACAATGTTCGTTCATCACAAAGATGAATGAAAAATTCATTCAAATAAATTACATAATTTATGAAAATAATGCGACTTGTATGTATTTATATTAACTGATTCTCTAAAATATCCGATACCACGAACATTAATAGACAAACAAATTAAAGACAAGCAACAAAGCAAGTTACATATTTTAAAATACACAACGATTATTTCTATTCTTTGTTCACGACATTCTGGACAAGACATACAACCCTATCCAGAACATGCACTACAAATTGTTGAAAGATATTTCTCGTCGACAGCTAGAGACCTCTATCTAAAACTAATACCTGTGTTAGTCGATAGACTTTTCGTCGTCATCGGTGTGAAGAACACAAAAGGAATCTGCAACTGGCGGCGGGAGTAGAGGTTTTAACGCTAGTTAATTCTACTGACAATATGACTGATTTTGCTGTAATGTATCTAATGTTTATCTAAAATTTCTTGTACTGTGAAGTACTACGCCTTCGAGTGTCTTTCAAACAACAAAGTTCTTTTATTGTGACAAAGTCGAAATTATTATTTGAGATCTGAAAACGATTTATTTTAATCATATATAAGCGACAATTATTCAGTTATCTGACCAAACATGAAAGAATGTAATAAAAAAAAGCAAACTTTTTTGTATTCTTGTCAGATAAAAGAAAGGGAAAGAAAACGAAAAATATATTACTAACTCAATAAAAATGTTTTTAACAAAACGGAACTTTTTTTCTGCTTTAGCAAAACATATACAACGTGAAACTACAAGTAAATTGCATAATTTCACATTTTCTATATAATAACAATTTTATGTAACTTTTATTTTTTTTAATAATTAAAGTAAACAGCTAATTATACAAATCAGCTATTTTCTTTTCAATATTTTGTATGTTAGACCGACGTAGATCAATTTACGGAGTAAAGTCTAGCTATATATAATTTCTACTAACATCCATTTCATAGTAATGGAATTCTGGTTGAATAGAAGATGTGAGCTTAAAAAAAGAAAAGAAAAAACAATTCCTCACGTATACAGCGCATAGGGCGTATACCACATAGTGACTGATAAAGTAGTGTGCAACAGACCACTTCCACAGTTACCTTGCATCCAGTCAACAGGATAAATAACCAATTGAGTGAGCAGATCTACTAGAACAAGAGTTCAACAGAGCCGAAAGTGTTATATATATGTGTGTACACAATATTACTGTTTTTATTATTTGCTTAGACAAAAATAAAGTGAAAAAAACTTGAAGCAGCGATGGACGATACCATGAATAGATCTTTTTTCATTCGTTTGAAAAATCCGTAAGTTACGAAAAACGGTAATATTTCGCTATTGTTCCTAACAACATTAAATATTTTGGTATGTATTGTTCACAAAACATAAGTAGTCACACATTAGTAACCGAGTGTATAATATGTTTGACCATTTGAAAATCATTTTTTCTCATAACATAATCAACATCAATTTGTTTTCTTACATCTTTGTCTTTACCTTCAAACTCCAATAGCATTCTTACATTTTCTGTTTCGTCTTCATTTTCTTTCATCCCAATGAACTTGATAATTTTCGCAAAACAATTTGGATTCTTGAAATCATCTTCATACAGTTTTAACATATTATCACGACCTTGGACGAGAATAGTGCCATCATTTAATCCAACTTGACAGTCAATATCAAGACAATTTTTGATCGCTAGAAGATCATGGGCATTAAAATAAGAAAGATAAGCTCTAACTTGCGTATCAGCCATTTAAGAAGAAGAAAAAACGGGTTGTTTTTGACACAAGTTATCTAATCTTTTTCTTTCTTTGTACTATTTTGCTTGCCTTACGCAATCTCTTATGATTATAACGTCATTAGAAAAACAGAAAAAATAAGGACAAAACGACTCTGTATCACGAAATGTAAAGAGCAAACTATACTTGTAACACACTCGTATATAACAATAAGTAGCGACAGTGCACAGACTTAGATACAAAGCAACTGTTCATGGAAGGAAAAGGCAAATGTACACTCAGATCAGCATCACCTCCATAAGAACTCCATCCTACTCTTTGTAAACTGTATGACAAAAATTATGATCTGGATCAATCGACCGATCCAAAGGTCAACCAAGAGGGTGCTTACAACCCTCCCTTCTTTAACCCAGATCAGTCTAAAGCTGATCAGTAGGTCGATCACTATCTTATTCAGTCTGTAGTACAGCTAATTGTTTTATTTCCTTCACGCATTATCGTATACGAAAGCAATTTCACTCGTATAACAATTGTTTATGAATTAAGGGGTGGTCTTCCCTGATATTTGGACAAGTTGTACAATGCGGTGGGCCATGCCAAAATAACTCCCCTTCGTGGGGTCACAGGCGTAAAAAGGTGATCAAAATTGAGTTACAAAGTTTTTTTCTCAAATGTTTTGCTGGGAAAAGGAAAAGTATTTTGAAAAAAACCTTGCCAAAAATGCTGCAAAAACGGTGTATGGTGAATGTGCGCAATGGTGGACTGCGGGGGATAACGTTGTCTGATTTTCAAAATTTTCTACCATATGTTTTAAATTTAAATATGATTTTTTTCAAAATTTGCCATTAACTCTGAGAAGCAGATAATGTTACCCCGCGTAGTCTACCATTGCGTACAGTTTGTGTAACAAGACTTTTACTCCATCATACTTCATCATTGCAGGATCTTTGGCAAGGGTTTAAGAGAGACTTCGCGACTCAGTCGAGCATTGCTTCCGAGGTCAGTGGAATGGTCGAAATTAACATACATGTTTTTTCATATTTTTGGATTCTACGATCAAAAGTGGGGTTATGAAAAATTTTTTA